GCTGGTACCGCTATTGCTAAAGGTATAGAAACAAGCACAGCAGAATATGTCAATGGTAAAACCATTTGAAGAGGACATTTGAGCAGCTAAACTAAGTTAAGTTCTGTTTTCAAAAAATCACGAATTATATCTGTGTTTTTTTCAGCACCCTCTAACTACACTACAAATACCCCACTTATAGAAAAACTTCCTAGTTTAATAATTAAGTCCATTTGAGGTAACTGAGATTTATCAGGAAAAAATTGAGATTCACCTCAAGATGTTTAAAAAAATATTGTGATTTTAAATACTGTCACATTAAAATGTTTTCACCAAAAATGACTACAATAAAATATTTTTAAGCTTCAATTTCTTTTTTTACTAGACTTAGTATGTATTATAGTAAATATAATTTCTTAAATAAATTGTTATTTGAAAACAAAAATGGTAAAAATAATTATTCTTCATCTGAAATGAATATGTTTTAAGATGATCTGCAGTTATATGTGACGAAATATTTCTACTTCTGATATTTTCGTTAGAAACAAAGAAACCTGCTGAATGCTTCAATTATTTTTGATGTAAGCTAGTCGACTGCTCTACATATCATGGGTGTTAAATAGTCAGGACGCAGTCATTATACAAATTTTTTTATTTGTGCCAACGTTTCAACCCAAACATGTGCGTCATTTAGGTCGTGGTTGGAGCACTGAAGGCTTTCAAGTACTGTGCTTGAAGGCTTTGGTGTATTGTGCTACTGAGTACTTGAAAGCCTTCAGTGCTCGAACCACGCACTGAAGATGACCCACATGTTTGGGTTGAAACGTTGGCACAAATAAAAAAAATGTATAATGACTGCGTACTGACTATTTATCACCCCAATTCAATTATTTTCATTAAAAAGTAAATATCAGGATCAGTAACATTTAATTAGCCACTTATAATTACGAAACAATTCCTATAATAAAGATCTAGGTGGAAACTTGATAACCAAGTTACATCCAACAAAATAATTACGAGTTCACGTCCCGGTGCCAGAGGGTCTTTTAACTCAGGCATTAATATATCTCCCTACACCTCTGGCCCGGGCAAACCCCTGTATAGCCTAAAAGGCAAGGAAGTGGAGAAAAAACAAAACAAAAAAACTCGCAACTTTTGGTTTTTTAATGAAATTAAAAATGGACGACTATTCAATGGAGGTAGCTTTCAGCTCTATCATTCTTATAAGAGAATTCCATTTTAATATCTTGGCAACATAGAGCTTTATGTAGTAGAGATAAGAGAAACATAACAAAAGAATACAGTAACGAAGGAATTTATTCCAATCATCCTAACAGTTTGTTACTGTTACATTTATAAGAAGATTGTGGATGTACTCGTAAAATAAACAAGAGTCAGAAATAGCAGATAAAATTGTTATCAGAGTAAGTTTAAAATTTTGACCTCTAATAATTTAAAAAAAATACCTAAAGTGGTCTCAAAAGTGATGCGTCATACGCCATTTCTTAACCATCCTACGCGGCACTTTCTTAGCTCCAGAGCTGCATGACTGGAGATGTTTATGGGAACCTCCAGATAACTGGACTAGGACCACGAGTCATGATGGTATCTACTATGTAAACTATTGTTAAAGGAAAAGTTAACTTTTTAAAATTAAAACGAAACATTCTTCATATTTCAGTATAAATATAACATTCACTTCTATTTGATTAGGGGAAATTCGACTTTAATATCTCAACCGTGAATGACGTTTTATTGACTAAAGGTAATGTTGAAAATATAATAACTAAAAACTATCTTTAAGCGAAAAGATAATTCTTTCAGATACATTTTACTTTGTTTTTGATCGAATTCGCCTTGCTACTACGACTGAAACAAATGAAATAAACTCTTCACGTGCCGTGGAAGTTACGAGGAGGCACTGAGTGACACGGAAAGACTGAGTGACATAATTCATTCGGTATGAAAAGAGTTGATTGATGTAATTTTTTAACGGTTCAAATCCGATTCAGATTAAGGAGAACCCTTAGCAATTTTTCGGGTATAAATGCCCAAAACTGATCTGTTTATCAAGTTACGTGATAAGGATCTTGACAGATATTCATACAAAATCAAAGCATGACTATTATTAAGACATTTTTTAACAATAAGTGCTTTACGGTTTATAGCAGGAATGAGAAACAAATCAATGTTATTATTTTTTGCCATTCCAGAGAGTCCTAACTAATGGAATAAGGTGACTAAATATACGCAACACTTTTTTTTTTTTTTATCCACTACAAAGTTGACAGATACCGCCATTGGATCCCTCTATGAACCTTACTCAAAACCAAATATTGAATTAATGAGAATTTAAGCAGGGAATATTGAAAATATATCACTTTACACTTTCAAGCTCCCTTCACACAAAGAGAAATATGTCCCGGCAATACGGTATACTTTGTCTACATCGTTGCGGATTATCGCTCTGTGTGACTGCTATAATGTAATAGATAGTAAGACAACTATATCGCCATGTCGCCGCCGACAGGAATTTCGTATCGCACTCTATGTGAAGGAGCTTTACTCTTAGCAATAATTCAATTTTTTTCATAGCTTAATTATTAATGGGCTTTCTTAGAATTATCAAAATTTTAATATAAGGTATCGAACCGAGAAATTTCTAGAATCATATTATTAGTTATATAATACTAAAATTTTATCTATCAACAAGGGAGTAATAGCGCACCTTTACTAAGATCATATTTTCCCTCACTTCAGTTTGGTGAACGCAATAAAAAACGGTTGTGGGAGCAAAAAGTTGATAAATACAACAAGTACATCTCTGAACCTAACCCCTAAAGATATTTCTCTGTGACAAACTCAATTTTAAACGTCTAACTTGGAAGAGGTATAGAAAAACTTGCAGTGAGAAAAAGGTTTATAAATAAGAAAGTTTAATGAAATTTATCCAAACTTTAAGGTGTATTTCTACATAGAAAACAATTTTACACACCGAATATTTGATTCGAAGGGCACTGAAGATGTCGAAATATAATCTATATTTCATATATATTTTCAAGCTTAAAATAAATATTAGGTTAGATTTAGTTTGTATGAAAATTCCACTTAGTGGAACTTAACCATGGAAAGGTTAAGTTTCCGTTTTAAGATATAAAAATAGATTGATTCGTATCATTGATCATTTTAGTTTCCATCATGTTCTCCAACTTCATATATTAGATATTATTTCTCTAATATCCTCAGCTTTCCAACCACACATTATAAAATGAGATGATATTTATTTCTCATTGTTTTCACCTTTAGTTTATTATAAAATCTTTTCATAGTTTGTATTTAGCCATTAACAATGATAAACTTTTAATTGTGTCAAATAAACCAAATTTAAAGTATCTTGTAGGAAGACATTTTAAAAATTTGGCATTTAAGCCCTGTCAGGATTAATCTGTCCAATTTAAGTTTAATTAAGGTTTCACTGGAGAGCCATCTGGTACAGTTGTATTGGATGTCCATTCTTCTGGAGCATTGCCGCGGACAGCAAAAGCATCCTGACACTGGCAGATCCTAGAAGAGAGGAGCTTTCGATCTGAAGTGCCCTAAAATAAAATCCTGGATCCAATAGTGTCCTCATTCGTTGAGTTTTGCATGAGACCTAAATATTAAGTTAAACAAAAAAGTTAAACAAGCTCATGCGAATAGTAAATAATCCTATAGTCTACTATAAGCCTATAGAATTTCATGTTTCCTAGGTGTTGATCCGATGACCGGTTTATGAAGATTGCAACTATTTAACGACAGGCCGCGATTAAAATTTTAGTACGTTTGCCATTTTGTTTCAAGAGTGCAAAAAATAGGTTAATATTGCTAAAAAGGTTTTAATAAAGGCGTGAAGGACTTAAAATAATTTACTTGTGTAATAATTATATAAATAAGGAAAGGCAAAACAGTTCAGTCTTTTTTTCTCTTCTGTTTAATAGTTATTGATGAACTTCAGTGTTATCAATAAAAAGAAAATTGAAAACAATGTATATAAATAAAAATGTAAATGTTAGTCGTTCAAAACTAATATCCGAAAATTCTTCAGCGATTACTTTGATACAACATTGCAATCAAATTCAGGACTGTTTTTATATACATTTTATAACTAATCGACTTTTCATTGGAAATGGCGGCCGAAAAACGTGTGTCGCTATGTATTTTATGTATACAACATAGTTCCACGAAAAGAGGCTGAAAAAAAGTAACGATGGATACAGAATTTTACTCGTGAATAATTAAAAAATCATATCGTTTTTGGTTCATTAAACCTATAAGTACTTGAAAGCAATTCCCTACAAAATGAAAAAAAAAAAATTTCGAAATCGAAATGAATTATATTCGATAAGATATTTTTATTGCATTTTTGTTTACATTTCTTTTCGGTTTAAATTTTTTTGGAGAGCTCTATTCCAAAAAAAATATATTTGGCAGATTGGTATGGTATAATTACAACGTTCAAACCACTTTGTACCGACCAAAGTGGGTTCAAATATCTTTTAAGGAGAAACTGAATAGAGAAATATGTATTTCGCATATGGAATTTACATAGCAATCGAAAAATAAAAATTGGTTGCTTCAAATTTTGACCGAATGAGCAAAGTCGGTTCAAATTGATTTTTTGAAAATGTAACGATACATTCACATTTTTATTTCCTAAAAATAACACAAATGGTATTGTACTATTTTATTTTGAAAATATAGAGAAGTGAATGTGCGAATATACAAGAGAACAAAAAAAAAACTGTTGGAAACATAAATTCAATTTTGTTTTTTTCATATATTCAATAATATTATGGTAGAATTTCGACAACTTGGTGAACACTAGTTCTATTTATAAGATTTAATTCAATAGTTCTGCAACGTTCCTGAAAATTTTAAGTCAAAAATCGAACATATTACTTTGAAATAGCAGATTCATAACATTTGGTTTGATATTAAACTTAGAGTGTGACCCAACCGCAGGACAGCGTTTTTTGTGTTTTTTACGAGCTATTTTCTTCAAACTGCTTATTTGCGACTCTTACACACGATGTTGAAGCCGAGCTGAGAGCGCTAAGTCGCCTTTGGGCTGAGAGTCTGCATTTCACCGGATGATTGGCAACCAGGGTCGGGGTAGCTTTCACTCCCAAGATGGACGGTGATTGAGCCAGCCACCTCCCCCAGGCCGGTACGCTCCATCCTCTTGTAGTCCTGCAAGAAGATGATAGTCGTCTTGGCAGGGAACCACAATACCAGTCTTCTTCTTTCTTAGCTTCTGGGGAGAAACCGCAACACATTAGGTTAGGATGTAATGAAAGCATTTTCTCACCACACTAAAGACTAAAGAAGAAAGCGCAATTATATCACTTCACACGCCTCTTCAAAATCTATTCACGCACAGAACTGAGAAATCTATAATTTCGGTTAATGATGAAAAAAAATTTGTATAGCTAAAGATACACACACATATATGTAACAAGATTTTTCTTTTTATCCCAAACCATGGTAAACCGGCCAAGAAGTTTGGAGACCCCTGAGCTAGAGGAAATAACTTTCTTCATCTCACTCGAATCAGATTAGATCATTCGTAATAATAAACCAAAACATGACGTTATATAACTATAGGTTATATATTTACTAATAATGATAAAATTTCGAAGTTTTTTTTTTGTTTTGTAGTGAATTTAGTGAGCTTTTAAATAATCATGGGTGCAACAATTGAATACTTTTTGAGTTATTCCCAAATTCTGACTCCAACGTAACTTCACGATCCGCTAACTTGGCATTATCACCTGATTCTAAACCTCTTACTTTCATTTGTATTCAAGCCCTAATGTAAAGTGAGAATCAAAGTTACTATTCGCGCATTCTTCGTGATATTCCCTTCCTATTGATCCCCCATTCATCAAAATCCATCACTCCTGTTAGCCGGAAAAGTGATCTCTAACTATGGATCAAATATTATAATAAACAGATTTTAAAAAGGCTTATGACCCTATTGGTCGTCAGAAGCTATTAATATTTTGATTTAATGGGGAATACAATTAATTGCTATATTTTTCTTCAAGGCTATGATACACCTAAATGTTTACCGATGTTTTGGCCTTCATCTGAATTAAGAAAAACAAGATATAAGAATAACATGAAACAGAAGAATAAATACAGTAGAGGGATTACAGAAGAATCAATTTCTTTCAATCCATCACTCTCATTACACATGTTCTATCTGAATTATTGAAGGGAATGTGGACCCAAACTTCTCGTAGCGGAAAATTTTATAACATCCATAAAAGTTTAAATAATTTAATATTATTAATTTCTTGCGCTTACCAGACGATATGTAACATATGCTGATGGACCCGATGCAAGTATTTTGATTGATAGCTTTATCTATAACGGAGTGCAGGAGACTAGTGAAGCTCATATTCTGTTAACATCGATTCTGTTTACTATGACATAATTTAATTATACGTAAAAAGAGGATTCGGTTTGTTCGGTAGGAATTACAGTGTTAATCATTCGTTGTTAGTTCGCCTATGAAATTGTTTTGAATATTTTAACCCGCGTCCAATGAAGTGCACTTAAAAAATAATATAAACCTAGGTCTGATACATTTAAAGGAGAAGAAACTATTTACTAAAACTTCAGACCTTACCAAAGACAGTAATAACGTTCATTTGTCTGGAATTGCACGAACCAAATACAACTACACTGTTAAACGCTCATGGTCGGTCGCCTCGGTCTGGACGGGACTATACAGAGTTTTATTATAGGCAAAGGTTACTAAGCGCTTATAATAAAAATAGTGAACTTATTCATTTATATGCATTTATTAATACAGCTATGTAAGAGTTTTAGTAATTTTATGACCGTAAGGAACCAATATTGGCGGGGATGAATGATGCCATTAAAACAAAGGGACGACGCACAGTGGGGCGTCCCAGTCTATCTAGCGGGACAAAAGTCAAAATATCGATAGTGAATTTTTCAAAGAAAAATTCCATTTTCCATTATAATCCTTTCTTACAGATTTCTTTTTTACTGATATAAATGTAATGTATTACTTAGATAAAAAAAATAATTAATAATTTATTAATCTAAAAATTAAATAATTTTTGATCAAACTTGGTTTTTTGGAATTTTCCTAATTTATTTTTGTTGATTTCCGGAGTAATATTTTGTTCTAAATTAATCTTTTAATTTTATTAAAAAACACAATCTAAATTAAAATGACCTTTTTTCAACTACGTAAAAATAATTTTTTTAAAAAACTGATGTAATTTATTGGTTGTAAAATCAATTTCTTAAGTGAAAATAAAGGAACAGAGGTATTAGAAAATCGTATTAATGAGGCTCAGCATACGCAAATTACAGTAATGAAGCAAGTACAGCAGTAAGGACGAAATGGATTTGGACATATTAAGTGATATGTCAATATAATTTTTTTTCTTTATTGAATAATGTTTGTCACAATTAAGAACATTAATAACACTGATACGGGAGTTCATTCACACTATATGTACAATAAATAAAATAAATCAATTATAATTCCTTTGCATCGACTTTTGTCTGCAGATTGCTCAAACAGATCACTGCGCGACGCGTCCCCACCGTTCCATAGACATCGACGGCTATGTTATTACATATAATGTAATTAACTATTTCAAAACAGATATTATAGAAGTAAAAACTTCTTTAGGCGCCTTTTGCACTTTTTTTTTGTGGAGAGTGAATTAGATTGATCCATCAGATTTCCGAAATGTTAAAGTTCGGGTAAAGTCGGCTGGAGTCGACTAATTGACATGTTTTTACAAATGGTTTAGAAATCTCCGAAAATAAAACCCGACCTGCATGTTGGAAGCGAAGGAATTGTTCAGTATTTCATCCTCTGAGTAATGGGCTATTATTCAAAATTGTATTTTAACGCTACGCCGTGTTAGACAGGCGAAAATGAAAAGAAAATAAACAGTGTCGAAAACCAAATGATAACGAGTTTGGATTAAAATATCTCAGAAACTAAAAATCGGACCTGTTGAGTGAGAGTAATTTTCAGCATTTCATCCTCTTTGTAATGAGCTTTTCTTTATAATATAAAATACAAAAAAATACGAGAAAAGAGTTACATGTATAGAAAGAAAAACCAAAACCTCTAGAAAAGAAAAAAATATTAAAAGTACTTAAATAAAAAGTATTGATTTTTTTTGTATTTCATTTCATAGTATATTTCATATTATTAATCTCGCCTTGTTGATGTTTTCACTTCGATCGCGTGGTCTAAAGCAGATATCTTAGTTTTTTCTTCTTCGCATTTTATATCTTATTTTTATTTTATATTTATTTATTTTTCTCTTTGCTGTTATTCTTGTACTTGTACCGCCTCTGATGTCGGGCTTTAGTTTAATATTAGTTCGAAATGTTGGCACATATTTTACAGTATATTACATTAACACAACTAGATAAACATAAATATATAAACACATACACATAAACACAAAAATCATAAATATATTGAGAATAGAAATGAAAAAATACAAAACAATAGTCCACGGAAGTATATAGTGTTTCATACTAAAAGAGTTGTTTTTTATTTAGAACACCTGTCAAAGTGAAGTGTTGACAACCAGAAAATTGGATGGTGTGGAACCATCTGCTCGAAAACAAGGAACAGTCAAGGAGTTCTTTTCTTTTATTCCTTCTGAATGTGTTGTCACATAAGGGTCGAAGATTGTATGAGATGTTTTCTGAGCGATTCCATGTTCCACAGTGGAATTTGAAGAGAATTAATTGTTCATTAAGCATACGAAGGTCAATATTTAAGTTACGTTGATGAACTGCAATGTAACAATTAAGTTTCTTCAAAAAGTTTTGGGTAACAAATTTGAAGTCTGTGTATTTAAATGTCTACATAGGTTTCGCTTATATAAGCAATTTTCTCAGCAGTAAGTAATACATAGCATAATTACTGCAAACGTAATCCTGCTGAATTTCATGATAATAGAGAAGAGATACGTACAAATTCTTTTTCGAATAACGAATAAATCACCGTTATTTATTAATTCAAAATAAAATTAACTGATTAAACAAATAAAATTTTAATCCCCGGAGACCAGATTTTCGTATTAGATGTACACATATTTAAGAATATTATATGTAAATATGTGAAAAAAACATGAGAAATTTGTTATAAGGTATATAAAAAAATTATGATGTATTTATTTAGTACAGAAATACTTCAATTTTCTCAACTCTTTTTAGATTTCAACTTAATTCTTACCAGTTGCGAATGTTTTACTTTGATGATAATAATTTCATTTAGAACAAAACATAACACTGTTTCGATCAATTTTCTTAAGTTATATAGTGCAATTACTGGTTTTAGTTTTTGTAACTCTTAAAGTAAAATATTTTACCATTATCTTGACAGTTTGATGAAGGATTTCTTTTTTCACAGCTAACATAAAACAAATTGTCACCGACTCCGCGTAAGTTTCTTTGAGAAATTCGCAATGGTATTTCGACAATAATGCTCTAAAGACTTACGCGATTTTTGGCATTTAACAGGTAAGTTCTTCAGGTAACAGGTAAGCGCCATGTTTCGAAGAACAATGTGATGAATTCTGATTAGGAAAAATAAAATTGTTAGAGGGAACAACTTTTTAGATTTTATCCCAGTAAATGTAACTAAATGGACAACCCCGAAATTCGCGGGATTTCTTATATTTTCTTGTATTTACTTTCAATATAAAAACGTTCTTTTCATTAGTGCTCACTTTTATCTATTTCAATTACGAATTTTCTTGGTTGACTAAATATGGACGATGTGTGGATAACCTCCACCAAATATATAAAAATATGCAATGTCTTTCAAAAACGAACAAATAATTAATATCCTCCAAATATCAAACGTAAAATAATCTGCTGAAGAAGAGTGTACAAAAATGAATATATAAAAACATATGAAATTAATATAGTTTAATGATAGGATTAAATAACAAAATTCATTTTTTTTATTTAACAAATTGAAGAACGAATAAAAAATGATTTGTTATTCCTAATTAATCTTCATTCGAATAATGTTCAATTTTGGAAGGAAATAAGTCAAAATATTTGTTTAATTCAAATAATATTCCATCATTCAGTCAAATGTCTGAATTAGAGAGCTTTACTACGCCTGTCTCTACGCTGTCAAGGTAATTTAGACCTTTTGTTTCAGATATTAAATGCGTTGAGAGATTTGTCATGACTTAACATGATTTTTCGAGATTTGGTTCCAGTCATGTAATTCACACGATTATAC